TCTGCGGTGGGTGTGAACAGCCTCTGCCCACACTGCAGTCTGAAGTGAGCTGCTGTGCTAGATCTTCCCCATCACGATGGACAGAAACCCTCTGCAGGGGTGAGCCAAGGTGTCTCTGTCAGGAATTAAGGCCACGGCAGTACAAAAACAGCCGATGCAACGGCCCTTTTAACTCCCCACACAGCTCTGAGGCTGTGCCTCCCAGGCATAGGCTTTGGTAGCCTAAGAAGGGTCTCTGTGCCAACACAGCCAGCAGGTGGCAGAATTTCATCCTCTCATGAGTGGATTGGATGCAGCTGGAGTCCTGAGTTGCATAGGAATAAGCAGAGGCCAAGCTCCTATTTGTGACACAGTCCAAGCACTCTGCACAGATTATCTCATTCACTCTTCACAACACCCAGTGAGGAAAGCACTATTCGAAGGTGAAGCACTTCACAGATGAGGAGCCAAGGACACAGGAGGTTGACAGTGAAGAATGGAGCTCAGTTGTCCCCTCCAAAGCCTCTGTGCTCAGCTGTCAGCCGCGGTCAGGTGTGGGCTGGGGGTTCCAGCTTCCTGGCCTCTTATTCCGATAGAAAATAAGGGCTCGCACAGATTTGCAAATGTAGCAACTGGAGCAAAAGGACATTACAGGTTAGAGAGGGGTACACTGTGGTGGTGCACACCTTTAAACCCAGCACTCAGGAGGCAGAGGCAGGCAGGTTTCTGAGTTCAGGTCAGCCTGGTCTGTATAGCAAGTCCCAGACAGTCAGGGATACATAATGAGACCCTCTCAAAAAACAGAAAAATAAAATGATTGACAGCAGGCCACGTAAGTGAGGGCCTGGACTACTGCTTGGGGCTTCCTGGAGGAGTTGGTTACTAAGGGTTGTAGTGAGGATTCTTCCCTGTTTTGATGATAGATTAGGTGAGATATTGTGTTTTCAACACTACATGTGCTTTCCCATGATGCATCTGATTTTAATCATGTGCACACTCATAAGATGACAAATAGGGGGTTCTCTCTAGGTTACTAGCCAACACCCAGTTATACTGAGTAACTTGAACAGAAACTGTCTAAATTTGTTACCAGGGGCACAGAAATCTATATTATTGCCAAGAGATGAGAATTCGTGCAGCCAGGCGCAGATGGGGTGCAGAGGCGTTCTGAGGCTGCTGGGTACATGACTGGAGAGGGGCGTGCATGTAGAAGACAGGGGTATGTGTTCAGAACACATGCAGGTGAGTGAACTCGAGGCCACTGCCTTATTATAAGGGGGGTGTGCATAACCAAATCAGAGTCTCAGGTTAAACTATGTCCTACACCTGCCTGTCCCACAACCAACCCACAGACTGGCTTCTCGGAAGAATGTAGCAGGTGGAGAATTTCAAATTTAAAAAGTAACAAGGTCGCATGAAAAGTTAAGGTTTCTGACGGTATTAATGCATGCAACAGAAAGCGTAACTCCGTCTTTCGACCCACAGCATTTAACACACAGAAAGCAGCTAGTGAATGCTTGCAAGTGAACGCATTGATAAGGCCTCCCACACTAGCCCGCCATTCTTTAATGATCCAGACGGGGCTCTTTCCACACCCGGGCTCCGGGAGCACGCGGTCGGCCTTGTCTGGCGCCCTCTGGTGCTCGGCAGCGGCAACTGCTACAGAGCGCCGCGGAGACCGGACGGGAAAGCCAAGCCCGTGCGATGCCTCGCAGCACGCATGCGCGAGCGTACACCCTGCACACACCGTACAGACAGAACTGGCCCTTCCTCTGTGATGCTACCCTAATCCCTGCTCCTGTCAGGAGGACCCGTGAAACATTCTGAAAACCGTCCCCTCGGTCCTCCCCACCTGTCTGCATTTCCTCCATCCGCTACTGTAAAGTGCGGTTCTGTCTCGTGCGAGTTTCTGGAAAGACTGCTTGCTGTCTCCCTGCAGCCTCCCTCTGTCCTCTTCCCTCTCTTCACAAAGATGTTACAAGTGTTAACTTATACATATAGTGGGAAACAGTACTGAGCATCCAAGTGTTCGTAGTTTTGCTTTTGTTTTTAAATAGGAGACCTGAAGCCCAGTTTTCTGCAAGTCAGCGCACCCTCTCTGAGCAGGCTATTGTGAGGAAGTGGATCCCAGCAGCAAGACGTCCCACAGTGGATTTCTCCTTTAACGGGATAACACACTCCTTTGAGAAGCTTTAAAAATGGGACTGGAGAGATGACTCAGCGCTTAAGAGTATTGCTGTCCTTCCAGAAGACCATGTCAGGCTCATAACCACTTGTAACTCCAGCTTCAGGGACTCTGATGTCCTCTGCTGGTCTCTGCACGTGCACACACACACACACACACACACACACACACACACACGAGTCCTTACCTCTTCCCCAGGTCTCTGATTTGTGAGAGGTGTTAGCCTCACTTGGCTTCATTCCTGGGCCACAGGACAGATCAAGAGACTGAGCTGGAACTGAGGAGCCTTTCACTTGTGAATGGTTTTCCTGTTGGACTGAGTTCCCTCTGGCTCCTAGTTGAATGTGGTCAGTGAGGAGTGCCAACGGGGCTAGAGGCAAGTGAGAAGCAAGGCTTGGGTGTTGGTACCTGGCCTCTTCCTGTGTGGGTGCTTTTGTTTAGATATGGCTCATACCCCAGGGGTTCATGTGTTGGGAGTTTGGCCCACAAGCGGATCTTAAAGGCTCGTAGAACCTCTGAGAGGTGGGTCTAGTAAGAAGCCATTAAGTCACTGCAGACCCTGTCCTGGGAAGGGATTAAGGTAGTTCTCCTGGGAACCCAGTTAGTTTCCAAGAGGAGGATTGTTATGAAAGAACTGGAATGACTGCCACCCCGGTTTCCTATCACTGACTGGTTCCTTTCACACAGAGTACCACTGTGATGCCATCTACCACGAGACTGTCACAAGAGCCCAGATCATGCTGTCTCCAAAACTGTGAGCTAATAAACTTTGCCTCACGTACTTTATTATAGCTGCAGGAAATGACCTGATAGAGCTGGGCTGCTGCAAGCTGGCTGCACTCTACTATTGAACTCACTCCCACGACATAGCTTTTGGTCTGAGTCTTCAAGGCCAACCCCCTCCCCAGCTTTATCTAGTGCCCTTCCTAAGAATAACACTGAGTGCTTATCCCTTCTTCATCAGTTCTGCTTAACCAGAGGATGATGATCTGGTGCTGCTGATGGGCATTGGCTGGTCATCTTGTGGGGTCTTCAAGCAAAGCCGACTAGAAGGGAAGCGAGGCAGATGGGGGCAGCTGGGTCCTGGCCCACTGGCTGAGGGCCTGACTTACTCATGCATAAGCCATATAACTACACTGGTTCTTCAGTGACATGCTGCTATGTTTCCTTTTTCACTCAGACAATTTAAATTGGGGTTTCAACTACTTGAAACAGAGAGTGCTAATTAAGATGTAATTAAGGGGGCTGGAGAGATGGCTCAGCAGTTAAGAGCACTGGCTGCTCTTGCAGAGGACCCGATTTGATTCCCAGCACCCACGTGGCAGCTAACAGCCATCCATAACTTCAGTTCCAGGGGATCTGACACCCTCTTCTGACCTCTGTTGGCACTGCAGAACATGGATGCACTTACATGCATGCAGGCAATACACTCATACAAATAAAAATAAAATAGCACTCTAGGGGGGTGTGGTTGCACTCACCTTTAGTCCCAGCACTCAGGAGGCAGAGGCAGGTGGATCTCTGTGAGATCAAGGCCAGTGTGGTCTACATAGTGAGTTCCAGGCCAGCTGGGGCTACAGAGAGACCCTGTCTCAAAATAACAATAGCACTCTAACAACAACAAATAGACCCTCCAAGATTCCATCTCTCCTATGCATCATGACTATTCTGACAATATTTACTGTCTTTCCTAAAGCCAACACCTGTAAGTCGCACAGCAGCTAGCAACTGTCCGTAACTCCAGTTCCAGGGGATCCGACAGCCTCTTCTGTCCTCTGCAGGCACTGTACGACACGGGTGCACATACTTATATGCAGGCATAACACTCTGTACACATAAAATATGTGAGCCAGGCGTGGTGGCGCTCACCTTTAGTCCCAGCACTCAGGAGGCAGAGGCAGGTGGATCTCTGTGAGATCAAGGCCAGTGTGGTCTACATAGTGAGTTCCAGGCCAGCTGGGGCTACAGAGAGACCCTGTCTCAAAATAACAATAGCACTCTAACAACAACAAATAGACCCTCCAAGATTCCATCTCTCCTATGCATCATGACTATTCTGACAATATTTACTGTCTTTCCTAAAGCCAACACCTGTAAGTCTATTCATTGGAGCAAAGTGTATGTAATGAATTAGCTCCCGTTTGACAACTAGAAAATTGATGGCCAGGATGTGCAGAGCGATTCAGCAAGGCCAGAGGTCATGTGGATGTGGAGTTGAGAGGCAGGTCGGCTGGCCTTTCCTTTCCTGTCCCTGAATGTTTGTGGGCCAGTTGCTCATGTCAGGTCATGATTCATTATCCCACAGCCAAGATGGGATGGTGCCAGAGAAGGAAAGCCACAGACTTGTGTTCCCATTAGCTGCTGTCTCTCTTTATCCCCACTCAGCATTGAGCGTGAACTGCCCTATGAACAGTTGGAGGATTTTTAAAAAATACTTGTCTTAAGCAGCCCAGGATGACCTTGACCTCCTGAGTCTCTTGCCTCCAACCTCCTGAGTGATGGGGATGGAAACCTCAGCTCCCTGCATACTAGATAAGCACTCTCCAACTGACCCACATCCACAGCCCCTGGGGGATGTTTCATAATGCTTTTCAGGAGCACTTTCTTTCAGCTTCCCAAGGATTACACCTCAGCTTCCCTAGTCAGAGTGGCCATCTGGCATTTCATCCATCTTGGAAAAAAATCTATATTGCTCAGCACAGCTTGTCCCTCTCACGAGATAATAAATATTCTTTGGCAAGATTGGGGAAAACGCTGGCTAAGCTGATGTTCGATTAAGGCAGCTCCAGAGTGGACAGATGTTTTTTTCCTACTGTGCAGATGTGGGTGGGCATGCAGGGCAGGTAGGCTGCTGTGTCTGCAAAGCCCTCCAGGACTCCTTGCCCAGCTCTGCCCCCCTCCCCGCAGGGGCTGGTTCAGCAGCTCTGCAGTCTATCCCAGGACAGGAAAAAAAGGAAAGTGAAGAGACTCAAGCTTTGTTCACCTCTCATGTGCGAGATCCTTGTCTCAAGGTCACCTTGAAAGTACAGAAGGAAACCAGGCACTTGTGTTCCAGCACAGCTCAGGGCTGGCTTGGTAAAAGAATGCTGAGTCATTGGACGACTGAGAGGCTAAATTAAAAGGTGAGTAAAGTCAGAACTGGTATGCGTTCTCTGGGAGTGAGATAGAAACATGTCCATAGGAGATGGGTACAGAGGTGTGCAGAGAGCCTTCTTTATAACAGACAAAACCTGGGAGCGAGCCTAACCTCCATCAGGAGTATTCGTAAGCAGGATATGGACTATTCCACTGGAATTGCACACATCTATAATGTTCATTTTTTCTGGGAAGACACAAGCTAAGAACATCATTCACCCCCAGATGGGCACCAATGACAGACCAAAGTATGATTTTACCAAAGTCCAACTTGGTGAGACTCGTGGTGGTGGGGTTACAGAGCATGGGTGAGGGGTAACTTACAGAAGCGTGGGTGACCCCCAAACAGCTGCATCACCTGAAGTCCCCTCCTGTCATGGATGGCTACCTCATGGAAATTCCATCATGGCATCTCCCTTTACACTAACCTTTTACTTTTTATAAACTCTAGCGTCTTTTGGGATCACTTGCAGCTGGGGGAAGGGGCTGAGTACCAGTATCATGACTTATTTTTGATCTTTTAGGGAGTGTTAACAGTCTATCACCTTCACCATAGGCCTGGCCACTGAGGTACGTTGGAATGGTTATGGCTGCCAGGGCCCTGTCCAAGATGGCATCATGCTATGCCCAGAGGAAAAAGTGCCACAGGACAGTAGCTCAGAAAGGAAAAGGAATTTTCCTTATTAAATATTTATTATTTTTATGTGTATGAGTGTGTTACCTGCATGGGTGTAAATGCACCCATGTTGTTCAATATCCACAGTAGTCGAAAGAGGGCATCAGATTCCCCTGGAACTAGAGCTATGGACGGTTATTAGCTGCTGGGAATTGAGCCCAGGTCCTCTGCAGAGCAGACAGTGCTCTTAACCATGAGCCATCTCTCCAGCCCCAAATAATAAAAATATTTTTTTAAAAAAAGAAATTACACTTTCAAGGGCCAACTGCCGTCAAGTCTGGGGATGTCTTTTGGCCGAATCTGAAGGCTCCGGACTCAGGTGGTTAGGAAGACTGCGGCAGGGAGGGTTCTCCAGGTAAGGATCTGGAGGGGGGGTGATGCACAGGCCGGCGTCCGAGGCCCTGGGTGCAGCTCCCGCCCTGGGGCAGCTCGGGCCTGGGAGCAGCTGTCGTGCAGGGGCGGGTCCCAGCGCCCAGGTCCGGCCCTTGGCGGGGCGGGGCGAGGCCACGCTCACGCCTAGTCACCCGGAAGACCTGGCGGGTAGGCGCCTTCTTGGCGGCTGGGAACAGGGTGGGCGGGCAGGGGAGGCTGCGGAAAGCCGGGTGGAGCGATGGCTGCCGGGACCGCGGCGCTGGGCGCACTGGCAGCCGCGCTGGTGGCGGTGCTGCTCCTTCTGCAGCGTGGGGACGAGGGGTCCGGGGCTGGCCCCAGGTAGGGGACCGAGCTGGGCCCTGCAGTGCTGCCCCGGTGGTCCGGGTGGTGTGGGGCCCCGGGCACATCATGCAGAGTCCCCCGTGGTGTGGGGCCCCGGGCACACCCTGCCGAGTCCCCCGTGGTGGCGGCTGGGAACAGGGTGGGCGGGCAGGGGAGGCTGCGGAAAGCCGGGTGGAGCGATGGCTGCCGGGACCGCGGCGCTGGGCGCACTGGCAGCCGCGCTGGTGGCGGTGCTGCTCCTTCTGCAGCGTGGGGACGAGGGGTCCGGGGCTGGCCCCAGGTAGGGGACCGAGCTGGGCCCTGCAGTGCTGCCCCGGTGGTCCGGGTGGTGTGGGGCCCCGGGCACATCATGCAGAGTCCCCCGTGGTGTGGGGCACCTGGCACATCATGCCGAGTCCCCCGTGGTGTGGGGCCCCGGGCACACCATGCAGAGTCCCCCGTGGTGTGGGGCCCCGGGCACACCATGCAGAGTCCCCCGTGGTGTGGGGCCCCGGGCACACCATGCAGAGTCCCCCGTGGTGTGGGGCCCCGGGCACACCATGCAGAGTCCCCCGTGGTGTGGGGCACCGGGCACACCCTGCCGAGTGCGCCAGGTGCAGGGGTGTGTGCAGTGCGCCCCGCCCTGCGGTGACTCAGCTCTACCCCGGGCGGGGACTGCGGAGAGCCGGGATCTCTTCTCTACAGTTCACAACCCTGGTCCCCCAGTGTAAAGACAGTCCCTTAGCACTGAAGGTGGTACTCCTGGGTGTTGTTTCCCCAGCATGGAGGACAAGGAGGGCCTGCCGAAGCTTCTGGAAGACTTCAAGATGCAGAATAAATCCGTCTTTATTCTGGGTGCCAGCGGGGAAACCGGCAAAGTGCTCCTAAAAGAAATCCTGGGACAGAACCTGTTTTCCAAAGTCACGCTCATTGGCAGGAGGAAACTCACCTTTGACGAGGAGGCTTATAAAAATGTGGTGGGTATTCGAGCTTTGTGAGGTGACAGTGTTCCATACCCAAAGTCTGAACGCTGCTGACCACCGCCAGGCGGTGGGAGACAGGGAGAAATGATGAAAATTTGGCCATGACTGACGGGGACGAGCCCCTCCAGCAAGCCTTGAGTTGTGCCTGGCTTGAGATCGCCCTCTTAGTCCTGTGACCTCAGGCAAAGCCCTTCTCTGTGTCCAGAACTCAGCGAAGTGGGACTAGGTTGCGGTAGGGTAGGCCAGTCAGAAAAGAGCACTGTCTTGCAGCTCCTAGGGGCGCTTTCCCCAACCTTAGGGCTTATTTTGGCTGCACATGCACTTCCTGTAGAGAATCAGAAATCGCTTCACAGTGGGAAAGGTCTGTGACAGCAGCAGGTGGAGCTCCTCTGATACAAGAATTCACCCTTCCTGACTTCCCAGGCCGGGTCTTTAAATGGATATTGCTTTTGTTGTTAGCTACACCTTCATAGGTAAGCAAATGGTAACACCAGACTCCCATCTGGTAATTCCTCCTGCGCATTGAAGCTGGAGTTTATGGAGATTCTGATCTCCACAGAAACAGGAGCTCTCTGTGTACGGCGGCAAATTAAACAAGACAGAGCGCTCCTGGGATCGTAATGTAGTCCCACGAGTTACACGGAACGAAGCGTTTGCGTGATGAACACAGTTGCAAATACATGTTCTTGATTCTCACGGTCTCCTGCTCAGATCATTTTGCCAATGCCCCGAATATCAGAACTTGCTTGTTTAAAATAGACACTTCTGCCCCAGCTTAGGAGGTGCTGGGCTTTGTGCACCGTCCAGTTTCATGAGTCATGGAGAGAGTCCTGGCATGTGGAACAGGGGATTGCAATCTGCTTTGAGTAGAGCTCTGGTGGCACATCTTTTAAGTAGGCATTTTGTGGTTTTGTTTTTGTTTTCTGTTCAGAGTAGTACACACTCTTCTGAAAGAGCTGGTGGTGGTGAGACAACCAAGGTTCCATTTGAACTCCTGGATGATGACGTGCCTCAAGTTTGGAGGCAAACCTATAGCTTAGATACTGATGGGCCTCAGACATCTTGCCTCTGCTCCCCCAGGGCTGACATCAGAGGCATGCACCATGACACTCAGCTTGCCTGGGAGTTGCCAGTTTCAGTGTGGATTAGAAATATAATGGAGGAAAAAAGAATGGGGCTGGGGATTAGGTCAGTTGGTAGAGAGCTTGTCTAGCATACGTGAAGCTCCGGGTTCAATTTCTAGTACCGTATAAACCGAGCATGGTGGAGCCTACCTGAAATCCAAGCACTGGAGAGGTGGAGGCAGGAGGTTCAGAAGTTCAAGGTCATCCTCAGATACATAGGGAGTTTGAGGGCAGCCTGGGCTAGAGACCCTGTCTCAAAACCACAACAGCAGAAAATGCGTGAAGGGGCTGTTGAATTGGCAGAGCCGATTCACAGGTGTTGGACTATAGCCCAGGAATTTGCCTTTTTATCGGAGTCCTTCTGGCTGACTCTAATAAAGGTAGTTTAGGAACTGAAGAAAGAAGGGCAGCCTGGGCTAGAGACCCTGTCTCAAAACCACAACAGCAGAAAATGCCGTGAAGGGGCTGTTGAATTGGCAGAGCCGATTCACAGGTGTTGGAATATAGCCCAGGAATTTGCCTTTTTATCGGGGTCCTTCTGGCTGACTCTAATAAAGGTAGTTTAGGAACTGAAGAAAGATCATCACCCACATTTTACAGCCCAACAAAACAGGCATATATCTGGTCGGTTCTTGGCCACAGTTATATGTCTAGTGAGTTCTAGGCCTGAAATTTGAACATGGGTCTTCTTTGAGAGTCTAATTACCATTTGCTGTCTCCACATTATACCCTAATGGTCTCCTTCCTGATAAAATACACACCGGGCTTTTGTTTTCCATTGGGTAAGGTACAAACAAACCCAGCTTTCGAGATCAGGTTTGCCCCTTCTCCAGTTATATGTACCCTGGATATGTATGTGCATTGTTGGTTTTCAGTTCAGATTTGTTTCCAGTGCTGAGTCTCCATCCCAGGGCCCCATGTGTGCCTTGCAAGCATTCTGCCACTGAGCTCTCCACCCAACTCCAGAGTAATTGCCTTTTGGTGGGATAAAGTGAATTTGCCATGTTGGATGTTAAGTATTTAGACCCTTCAGTAACGATCTGTGATTTATTCTTTAAATCTAGAGGAGCATTTTGTCTCTCTTTAAAGTAGTATGAACTCACTTGAAACTGTGTTTGTCCTTGTTTAGAATCAAGAGGTGGTGGACTTTGAAAAGCTAGATGACTTTGCTTCTGCCTTTCAAGGCCATGATGTTGGATTCTGTTGCCTGGGAACCACCAGAAGAAAAGCTGGAGCGGTAAGGCCCTCTTCCCTGTTTACTGGCCAGTGATAACAGAGGTTTCTTTCTTCATCAAAAAATATATTTTATTTCTAATTATGTACAGATGTGTGCCTGTGTGAGTATAGGTGCCTGCAGAGTCCAAAAGAGGGTGTTGGCTCCTTGCCGGGTGCTGCAGTTACTGGCAGTTGTGAGCTGCCTCACATGGGTTCTGGGAACCAAACTCAGGTCTTCTGCAAGAGCAGTTTGCAATCTTCTATTTTATTAACATTTAAAAATCTTATTTTTTTTTAGATATATTATTGTTTTGTCTGCATGTATGTAAGTGTACCCATGTGTGCAATTCCCACAGAGGCCAGAAGTGATAGGTCCCCTGGAACTTGATAGCCACCATGTGGGTGCTGGGAGGCAAAATCAAGTCCTCTGCAAGAGCAACCAGTGCTGTTAACCCCTGAGCCCTCTCTCCAGCCGCAAGGATTCTTTTCCTGCTTATTCTTTTTCTTTGGGCTTAATTAATGTAGATAAGCTCTTTATTAAGAATCCATCTGCTGCCCCATCTTTATTATACTTTGAACACTGCTGTTAAGTTCATCTTTCCTCCAGAGTTAGCCCTGAGTTGAGGCCTGCGTGCTACATCATAAATATTTACATCATCCTGCCCACACGTTGTAGTCATCACAGCTGACAAAGGGAAGCCAGGAGTCCTGTCTTCAGTAAAAGTAATTGGCTCATGCCGTGACAGTAAGCTTTTTTTCCTTCCATAATAAATGTTTTATCAACCTGTTTTCATGCCAAGCTTTAAACGTGGGAAGTAGACCATCAGAACTCAGAAGCACGATTCATTCAGCCCCTGTGATGACTCAGCAGTCAGCAGTGAGTCACGCTTGGGATGACTCAGCCCTCAGTGACACAAAACGGCTTTAATACACATTTTATTTTCTTTTTGATGGTGTTCTAAATTGAGTCAGCCCCTATCCAGAAACTAGAGCTTACTACATAGTTAAAACTCATGGTTTATAATATAGATCCTGGGCAAATATTAATACATCTTATTTAATTTAGACCCTGACTGTAGTTTATCCCTCTGGCAGAATTTACTTGCTGGAGTCAAACTTGTCTATTGAGTAGGTTGTGATTCTGCTGTAATGACTCTGTTAGATCTTTCCTCATTGCTAAGAGAATGCCTCACAAATGCAGCTTCAGGAAGGAAGCGCTTATTTTGGTTCACAATGCGAGGGTGCAGTCCTTCATGCCCGGGAAGGCAGGTGAGCTAGTCACATGTCAGAGAGAGAGAGAGAGAGAGAGAGAGAGAGAGAGAGAGAGAGAGAGACTGGAGCCCAGTTCACTTTCCTCTTTGTATTCAGCTTAGGACCCAGCACGTGGAATCATGCCTCTCACATTTAGGGTGGGTCTCCCCACCTTGGTGAACCCAGTAACCAATGTACCTAGAGGTTTGTCTCCTGGGTGACTCCAGGTCCTGTCACATTGACAGTATTGACCACCACGCTGACTTATTGTAGTTTTTATATACCAGGCCCATGCATCTGTGTCATTGAGGGAGCTTGATATGGATCAGAATTCTAGGTTTGTACCAGCCGAGGGGTTAGCTCAACTGTATCTCTCTGGCTTCTTCAGCTGCTTTCAGTGAGATGGATGTCCGTGTCTTGTGTAGTTCAGAGCATCCACCCCGGGTCACCACTGGGGTTTGAGCCCTGAGCCTGGAGCTCTGGATTACAGAGAAGTTCCACTTTCCTAAGAATTGCATTTTCTCCTCTTCGAATGGTCACATTCCTGCCGATGCGTTCCACTCTTCCCTTTTGTCCTAGTAGCTGAGGCCAGCTCTCAGGTGCCAGCCTGGGCTTGATGATGACTCGGCAAAGTAAATGGCTGCATTAAGCATGGAGCAGTTGATTTTCTTGAGGTAAATACAGGGTGTTCCAGGGAGAATGCAAACAGCTGCTCACATTCAAACTGTAGCTTGAATAAGAGGAAAACAGTTTTTTTTAAATGGAAGTGGATCTCCATATCTTAAGCATCTCAGTATCTTTTGTTCTTCTTTACAATCTATTTGGAAAGATGAAAGTAATTAATGAGTACTTAGGGCAAAGTTTAGCGGCTAAGTAGTCTCAGAAATGAGCCAGGAGTTAAATGCCTAAGAGGATATTGATGGAAAGTAAGCTGGCACTGCACCTAGAGAAAGCTTCATTCATTAATTAAATTGTTACTAATGTGCATGTATGTAGGTGGGAGTGCAGGTGCACCTGTGCTGGGGTGCACACGTGGAGGTCAGAGCACCACCTTTAGGAGCTGATTTTCTCCCACCTTGTTAAGACAGGACCTCTCTAGGCTATGCTGTGTACTCCAATCTAGCTGTGCGCCACCCCTGAGCTGTCCTGCCTCCGCCTCTCATCTGCTCATAGGAATGTTGGGATTACAGCTTTTTGACCGCTGTCCTAGTTTGTTCTTCATTGGTGTGATAAAATACTCTGACCAATACCAACTTGGGGAGGAAAGGGTTTATTCAGCTTACATCTTCCAGGTCACAGTTCATCAGGGAGCCCAAGGTAGGAACTCAGGGCAGGAACCTGGAGGCAGGAGCTGGAGCACAGGCCATGGAGGAATGCTGCTTACTGGCTTGCTCCCTGGCCTCTGCTCAGCCTGCTTTCTTATGCAACATAGGCCCACCTGCCCAGGGGTGGCACCTCCCACAGCACTCAACAATCAAGAAGGTACCCCATGGACACGGCCACAGGCCAGTCCAATGAAGGCAATTCCCCAACTGAGGCTCCCTCAACCCAGGCGTGTCAAGTTGACACTAAAGCTATCCAGCACAAGCACCATACTTGATTTTTATGTGGGCTCTAAGGATGGAACTCGGGTCATCAGGCTCACACAGCAGGCGCTTGTATGCACTGAGCAATCTCCCCAGTCCAGAAGGGCCTTTTGAAGCCGGGCATGGTAATACACACCTGTAACTCCAATGTGGAGGAGGTAGAGGCTGGAGGATCAAGTCGTGCAAGGCCAGCCTCAGCTACATAATGAGTTTGAGGCCAGTCTGGAGTACATGAAACCGTGTCTCAAACAAAAAAATTACCTTTAAAAAAGATTTATTTTTGTTTGTACAAGTGTTTCAGTGGCCAGTATTTTTACTGGTATGTGTGAAGTTTCCTCAAAGGCTTGGAAGAGGCCGACAGAGCCGCCAAGTGGGTCCTGGGAACCGAACTTGGGTCCTCTGTCTTAGCAGTCTTTTCAGGAGAGAAAATTCAGGGCTTCTGTCTCAGGGCTGAGGTCCCCCGAGGAGCCAGCTGGTTCCCCTGTGGCCCTTTGTGGAATCGTTTCCTAGGGCCCCCCATAAAGCTGCATTGAGTGGCCTGATCAGCAGCACTCGAGGCCTCACAGCTTTGCAGACTTGACATCTAAGGTGGAAGTGTTGGTGAGAGAAGGGTCTGTATCTGGGCTTTCTTCTTGTTGGTCTTTGTACATGGTGTTGTCCCTGTGCGCATGTCTATGCTTGTAGTATTTTCTCTTTCTTTTGGAGGAGAGGGCAGTCTGCTCAGCACAACCTCATTATAAGTACTTATATCTACAATAATCCTTTCTCCAAGTAAGATTACATGCTGTGCTACTAGGGGTTAGGATTTTGACAGGATGTACTTTCTCCTAGTTTGTTTTTTATGTTGTGATTAACTACTCTGACCAAAAACCATCTCCTGGGTCACAGTTCATCACTGAGGGAGGCTATGGTAGGAACTCAGGGAAGGAACCTGGAGACAGGAGCTGGAACACAGGCCACAAAGGAATGCTGCTTACTGGCTTGCTCCCCTGGCCCAGGCTCAGCCTGCTTTCTTACACAATCCAGGACTTACACTACCCAGGGGTGGCACCGCCCTCAGTAGGCTGGTCCCTCCCACATCACTTAACAATCAAGAAAATGCCTCACAGACATGCCCACAGGCCAATTCAGTGGCAGAAGTTCTCCAATTGAGGGGCCCTAGTCCCAGGTCTGTCAAGTTGACAACTGAAGTTGTCCAGCACACACCTCAAGTTAGTCCACTCAGATTTCCATTGGAATGTACGCCCAGAACAAGTCTGTCAGCTTTCTTCCACTGTTTGGAAAACCATTCCTTCCAGCAGTAGCTGCTCAGATGCTAAGCTTCCTTCCACACTCGGGCCTTGGCTGTCTAGTCAGAGCAGTGTCTTCCTTGCATGGCCCTAATCCAGATCTGCTGCATGGGAATCTCTGAGATTGGAAGCCGGGAGTCTTTTTTTCTATAAATTCCTTTGGAGATCAATCCTGCTTCCCCACTGGACTTGCCTTGGAAGGCACTGGGACAGTCTCTTCCTATCCGCCATAGTTCTAATGGTCTTCACCTTGTTTTATGCAAGCAGCTTAGTTCAAGTGAAGACTGAGATGCCCTTTGAAACCAAATGTTCACTGAAGAGCAAAACTCAAAACCTGTGAAAATGATGCGTTTCCCTTCGTGTGCAGTACGAGAAGGGTTTGTGTGGTCTCCTTCCTGTATCGCACCCTCCTGTATCACACCCTCCTGTATGACACCCTCCTGTATCACACCCTCCTGTATAACACCCTCCTGTATCGCACCCTCCTGTATCACACCCTCCTGTATCACACCCTCCTGTATCGCACCCTCCTGTATCGCACCCTCCTGTATCGCACCCTCCTGTATCGCACCTTCCTGTATCACACTGGCTAGTAGTGGGCTCTGGCCACTCAGGTTCTTAGATGCCATTTAACACATGACATTGTTAATGTGATTAAGGAAACGTAATTAAATTCTGCAGTCATTGCAGTGTTCATTAGGTATCGTAGATTCTCATGACTTCTGATTCCAATAATATATTCTGTTCACCCAGAAGTTTTTAACGTACAGTCTGTAAGTTGAGCACCATTCACTACCAATTTCTGTATGTCCAGTGAGCTACAAATGATTTTAAGTGGCTGAAAAATTTATGCCATACGAAAGTACGAGAAGTTCAAATTTTAGGGGGCTGGAGAG